TTATCCACACACACACACACACACACACACACACACACACACACACACACACACACACACACACACACACACACACACACACACACAAAGGCACTTCCCATCATATTTCAACATGCACTGGTTACACAATTAGGTACACCTGCACAAACGCGAAACAAAACAATTCTGTCTTGTGAACAATACTTTTTAACTCAATGTAACAATGTTGATTTACTGTAATATCCACTCGCTGCACGAGAGTGTTAAATTAAATCATATTGTTGTAAAATGCAGTTATGAAGATTGCACTTGTATGGGATATTTACAGGTGTACCTACTGTCATGTACCGTATGACATTGTTTTTCCAAGTCCAACAGCTTAGTGAAGATTAATCACACAAAATGTTAACTTGAATTAAAATGCACACACACACACACACACACACACACACACACACACACACACGATTGCTCAATACACTCGAAAACTGCGATTGGCTGACAACCGGTTCAGGGTGTCCCCCGCCTACTGCTCGAAGACAGCTGGGATAGGCTCCAGCATGCCCCGCGAGAGGATAAGCGGGTCGGAAAATGGATGGATGGATGGATACACGCGTAAAACACGAGCGATGCCACTTGACTTGCACTCGAGCCTAATGTGAGCTGTCCGTGGTCCTGAAAGCTCCCAGCCTCTCGGCAGCAGCATCTTTTTGTCGGTCCGTACACGCCCTAACCTTAACCGTACATCCCTCACCCCCTCCCCCCACGTGTGTGTTTGTGTGTGTATATATATATATATACACACACACACACACAGGCATACACTTTGGGGTGCAGAAAAAATGCAGATTAAAATATTTTGACATTAAAATGCAATTAAAGTGCAAATAATTTGGAAACAAAATACAAAGAATTGAAATGTACTGAACTGAAATGCAATATAATTTTGATAAAATACATTTGGTCTGAATAAAAATAGAAATCAAATAGCAAATTTAGTTTCTGAATTCGAGCAAGCAAACCAACCGGTAGGATTTCTCGCCACGCCACCTGAGTATGTGCATGCCCTGTGACGCACGCACTCTCTTCAGCCATTCCATAATATTAATAATCACTATAATCATAACGACGCAAGACGCCACACGCGCATCTTAAAGTAGATACACCACAACTGCAACAATGCCCCATCTGGGTGCGAGTGTTCGTGTGTGTGCGTTTGTGTATGTGTCCGCGTGTGTGCCCGCGTGTGCACGTCCGCGCGTGTACATACGTGTGTGCGATGGATGCAGGGAGACGACTTACCTCTGCTTGCTCGAGCGAACGCTCCAAATTGGTCCGGATGGAATGAAAAAAAGCCCTTGGGAAAGACAGAAAGAGAAAAAGGGAGAGCATTCACAAAATGAGATTCCTTCCACGCACTCGGCAGGCAAATAAATAAAGCATCCATGGGTCCATACCCGAGCGCGTCCACACACACGCGTCTGCTTGTCGCTGATGCAACACGTTCGAGCCCTCCGTTCGTTTTCTCTCCTCTCCACTCCGACGTATGCGCCTCCATTTTACAACCCCCACACACACACACACACACACACACACACACACACAGACACACACACACAGACTAGCCTTTCTGGAAGGAAATACTGCAAAAGCAGTACCACCCCATGCCCCCCCCCCCACACACAAATGGAAGCCAGTCAATTCCTCCAGTCTGCGATTGACCTGCATTGACGTCATTGCGTCATTAGGTCTCCCCTGGAAACACGGGGGCTCCCAAAAATAGCAACACATTAATTCAGCCTGCATGTGCTGGGGTTGGCTTGGTGGTGGGTAGAGTGGTTCTGTGAAGGGGGGCCTGTTGGTACCAATCCAGAAGACCCCCCCCCCCCCTTAACCCGCCCACCACCAATAATACAGTCTCTCGCTCTGCCAAGGACAGGCACATCACGACTTGGGGCTATTTTTAGGGAGGAATGGATGGATGGATGGAGAGAGTGAGGGGGAGTAAGAGAGAGGGAGATGGGTGGGCATGTTGAGAGACGCCCGCTCCTCTGCTCTACTCGCCACTAGCTGCATCCAAGAAACACAAACTGCACCTGGGGGTATAAAAATAGAAAAATAACCTTCATGTAGCCACGTGGCACTTGCCTGACTCTGTCTTGATGCGTGTGCCTGCCTGTGTGCATGTGTGTGACCGTGTGTGTGACTGCGTGATTGTGCTTCTGTGTGTGTGTGTGTGTGTGTGTGTGTGTGTGTGTGTGTGTGTGTGTGTGTGTAGAACAAACAAGAGAAGGGCATGGAGCTATTCATTCAAACAAAGTTTGATAAGTTGGATTTCCATGAAGGAAGGTGATGTCATTCATTTGTTTCGGTGGGTTGGTGCAAAACATGAAGGAAGCTTTCATAAGCAAGGAGGGACCACGTGGCTATGTGCAAGGAGACATTATGTATACATTTTTTCATTTTCAATTCATTGGGATCTTGTTCACGATCATGAGCAGGATGGAGCAGAAGATCAACAGCTGGATCGGTGCAGTGTCTGCAGTGATGCGGATTCTGAATCGGTCTGGCTTGGAGGAGCAGGAACTGAGTTGATATGTTCTTTCCCTGAATCTCTGGTCACGAGCTGTGGGTCGTGACCAAAAGCACCGGATAGCAGATACAAATTGACAAAATGTGTTTCTGCGAGAAGAGCCGCTGCTCCTCCACATTAGAGGAGTTGGCTCGGGCATCTGATTCGGATGCTTACTGGACGCCTCACTCGTGTCCCACCAGCAGATGGCCCCAGGGACAAGCCGGGACACGCTCGAGAGATTGTTTTCTGGCTGGTGTGTGAATGCAATGGAATTCCCCAGGAAGAGCTGGACGAAGTGGATGTGGAGAGGAAAGTCTGGGCCTCCCTGCATATACTGCTGCCCCCGCTACGTACCTGAGATAAGTGGAAGAAAATTGCTGGTTGGATGGATTAAAAAAAAGGATTTTATTTATTCTTATTCATTTCTCTCTGTTCTTTTGATCATTTGCTATGCTTTTTTGCTAGTGCCTTTAATTTCCTTTTTTTAATATATATTTCTTATTACATTTGTATATTCAGTTTATTCTCTTTATCTGTTGACTTTTTTCTTACACGATAACTGTTTATTGAGTTGATAAATTATCCTTTTTTTTGATACTTTATTTTAGTCCGTTCATAAGTTATTCTACATTTCGTCATTGTCTTCGGATGATTTTTCTTTCTTTTTTCAAATATATATTTCTCTACATTTTTGTTTTATTTTTGTATAAATTTGATATTGATGCTTCTGCTGATGCTTTGCCAAGGGAGTGTGGCGCCTTCAAGTGTGAAATTTAAACTACCTCCGCCATCTACTGGCCATATGGGTGACCTGCATTGTAAAGGCAAAACCCCAAGTTGCATCATATCTGGAATCAGGGAGTCACTTAGCAACTACAAGACGTTTACACAGTTATGTTACACCTACTTGCTTACAAACCATTCTATGACAAATTATTTAACCAAGGCTCAGCCATTCAGAAGACAGGACAAATGGCTTGAATGATGCCTGAATGTGATGATTCACATTTTTCCAGGTTTCATTCTCTGGGTATTGATTCGATTGCAAGTGGGCCAATCTGGTTGACTTCGAAGACGTTTTGCCTCTCAACCAAGCCGGCTTCATCGGGTCATGCCATTGGCTAATTAGAACAGGTATCACTCTTTTTTTTTCATGATTAGTTTTTAAATCGCTAGCATTTGCTAATTTATTCTTCTAATTTGAATGAGGAGTTTAGCTTTCCTCTCTCCTGGGGTAGTTTAAGTGTGAGAAGGTTCAGTCAAAAACAAGATGTGACATGAGGTAAATTGCTTCCAAGGGGGTCCAAACTCTGGCTGTAATTCATATTTCAACAGTAGATTCAGAAGTAGATGTGGTGGAAATTCAGACCTAGTTCATGTGTTCATGAGGGACTGGCAAATTTTCTTTTGTGTTGCTTGGATGAATGACACGGCTGGGCTCTTTTGATGGTAGTCAATCACTTTGGGTTACAAACTTCTTTTGTGTACATTTAGCCGTGTGCACTTTCCATGATCACAGTATGTTCTGGGTCAATTTTGGCTCTGTCTATATCAATTAATGAATGACATTTGTTTTTCAAAATGTAATAATAACATGTCTGACATGAATAAATGGATGATTCATTGTTAATGTTTCAGAGGAAAAGGAAGTTTATGTTTATACCATTAAAAAAAAAAATCGGCAGTTCTTGCACATGTCTGCCACCACTTCAGGCTCTGAAAGGCCAGCTCAAAATAATTGCATACGTTTAGACCCTTTTTATTTCTCTCAATGGAGTTTGTTTTGTTTATTTTGATTTTGATACATTGTAGATATTTTTCACGCAACCTTTTGGTACCTGTACATTGTCAAATATTTTCTTTTTGGGAAAAAAATGTACATTTCAGGGTGACATTAAGGTGATTGCTTTAATTGCGGTCAAATCGCAAAACGTGTGAAATTTGACCTGGACAGTATGTAAAGGTTAATCTCCTCCAAAGCCAAAGCGCCTGTCTTTCTTCCTGCTCGTGATGGTTTTTAAAAGGGTTTCGCAGTGTTTTAATTGCGTCATTTGGCGTCCATATGGTACAAATATAACACAGTGGGGTACCTTGGGAGACATTAGTGGAAATGGCCTTGAGGGCTTGGAAATAACAAGCGGCAATATCTGCAGAAATTAAGAGCAGACGCCAGCATCCATTACGGCTCCTGACAATAAGCAGTTTCGACTCGACCTCCTGTAAATCACAGTGCAAAACCCTTAGAGCGCAAAATTACCAACGACAATAAGAAGAGGGTGGTGGTGGTGGGGGGGTGACAACGTTTCCCGACCTGCATTGAGCCGAGGCAGTCCAAAAATGTCACACCGCAACACAAAATAAAAATGTCATAAAAGGCGTAGAAGGCTGCACAGTAGGCCACTGGTTAGCATATCCGCCTCACAGTGCAAAAGTTCTGGGTTCGATTCCGGCTCTGGCCTTCCTATGCATGTTTTCCTCTGTGCCTGCATTGGTTTTCTTTAGGTCCTCCAGTTTCCTCCCACATTCCAAAAACATGCATGGCAGGTGAATGGAACACTCTAAATTGTTCCGAGGTGTGAGTGTGAGTGCAAATGTTTGTTCGTCTTTGTGAGCCATGTGATTGGCTGACAACCAGTTCATGCTGTTTTCCGGCAGCAGGTTACCCTGCACAGACAAACCGCTGCGATAGGCGACCCTCGTGAGAATAAGCGGCTTGGATAAGGGATGGATGGATGAAAAGCGTATATGTATGGCAGCGCGCGGGGAAATGTATACTTTGTTTTCGAGGTAGCAAAACAAGAAAAAGCCATGGGGACAGGTAAACATGCCGAGGCCGAACTCGTGTTCAGGGGCAGAAGACAGAGAATTCCCAGGAGAAGCCGGAAGCTTTAGGGGCAGACAGGCTTGGCAATGGAAGAGCTATCCACGGAGACACTCGGATGAGTGTGCAGCAAACAATCTGGAAATGTGTGATTCATCTTCATTCATCAGCTTTAAATAGTTGCATGCGGCAGAGTGGCTGTGTGAGTGAAGAAGCACTGGGAAGAGCGTACCAGTGTCCAATGGCGGTGAACTGTAACAGAACTGCAACAGCTGTTCCAGACTCTCCTAAGAGAGATGAAACTTAATGACATGGAGCGAGCACGTTCTCCAAATAAAATGCAAAGAGTGCTTGCTTCAAGCTGTTTATTTATCCCTTCCGGTGTTTACTTAACTGAGACATAAAACGCAAGACAATTAACATCATATTTTCAAATGCCAAAAAACTGTAAGAATAACAAACTATCATTTCGGGTAACAAAGGTCCGCCACTTTAGTGCTAATATATCATATGAAACGCCATAGATGAACTAAGGGGATGATAGGGTCATCATAAACTTTCTTTTTCTTTTAGATTCACTTCAAATTTCCACTACATTTTTTTTTTTAACGACTCACCTGTGAGGACATGAATATCTTCCTTTGCACTCACACATCACACATTGAAAATCTAAAAACATCATTCAAGCTATTTGCATTGTTTTCTCAGTTGCTCTGCCTTGGTCACATGACATGTTAGTGTTGGATAAGTGATGGTGCAATCGGAGATTGCTTGAGATTTCGTCACCAAGAAGTATGTGTGGCATCATGGTCAAAGTGAAAAAACGCCAACCGGTTCTTTGATGGGTTTCAGCATTGGACACATCGATTTAGGTGGTTTTGTGTTGATAGGAGACCACGCGACAGCAGAGGGAGGCTTGCACATTCCCACCCCCATCAACTGATCGACAGGGAGCTGAGATACGGAACGAGGTCACAGAAGCTTCGAGGTAACAGCAGGATGTTACTGAGTTAGCGCCAGCTCCCTGAAGTGCTTTACAACGCCGCGGGGACACACGATGAGTTACACGCGGCGTTTGAATAATTCATCCAGATTCAATGTTTCATGAATAATCCTGAATTATCCATACGATTCTTGGTCAACGCTTGTGGCCTTCCCAGATGGA